GTTCCAGTATATTATATTGAAAGTCTGACATCTGAAGTCTTATTATCCAGTATTTTATGTTGGACTTTTTAATGTCAACCGAGCATTCATGTTTTCTCTAAAAATTTACTATTCTGAAAAGTGTTGATGTCTTAATTCTGGACCTCGAACAGTTCAATCACACTTTTCATCACTGCATATCAAAGAGTATCTTGTAGTAGTTGATCTTTCAACGTAGAACCTCCTTGATTGCTGCTAAGCAAAAACATCTAATCATTTTTTTTTTGTTTTGAAAAACACACCCCAATTTTACATCATCCAATGATGCATTTTCTTTTAGTATTATCAATGGTGATTATTTTGCCTTTCCTTTTGCTTTTCTTTTTCTCTCTTCGATTGTGTGTGGTATTTCAAAGTGTTGGCCTATTCTCTCATTTTCTATTATAATTTTGGAAATCGGCATGTGTTGCTCTTCTTGTATATATGTGGTTGGCTGCAATAATTGTTGATTGTCAATCTTCATTATTGCATTACCTTCTTGTTGTTGATCTCCAGTAAAAATTTCAGAAAGTATTTCTGATACATCAACAACAAATTTGTAGCCTTTGTAGTATGGATCATTTCTTAAAAGCATCATAAAGGAAGTAAGTTGTTCATCTTTTGTTACATGTATTCCCTTGCCGGTACCTAGGTTGATATTAAGCCATACTGTTGCTTCAAACTTGTTCCTGTTGAACTTAATAACTTCAAAAATCTTATTAATGAATTCGTCAACTGAAATCCCATCATTTACAAGCAGAAACTTGGTTTTATGATTTAAATACTTGTAATTTGGTGTCCATTTTTCATTGAAAGCATTAATCTAGAAATTTGTATGCGTCTTGCATTTAATGTACACAAATAATTTGATATTCCCTTCGGTCCACAATAAGTGACCAATTTGCTTTTTATTTTGGTCCAAAATAAGTGTCCAGTTATATAACCAAGAAACAATTCCATTTGTTATTCCAAAATTACCCTCATGTACATATCCCTAAAAAATCTTTTACTTCTCACATTAACTATGCTGCAACATTTAATTAAGGGTACTTTAGTCATACTAACTACTTTTGTCTAGAATTTAGTATTTCCTTAATGGGTGTGCCCAAAGTAAATTGGTCACTTATTGTGGACCGGAGGGAGTATTAGTATCCTGCATTTTATTGGGAAAAATTTCACATTAAAACAAGTGGGCTGCCTCCTTTTCAACTTTGTAGCCCATATTTAACTTTACAATTGAGTAGCCCACAAATTAGAGGCCCATATCTGAAAAGGGGGCGTTATTTCCGGTATTTTGAGACTACCAAACGCGATTTTCTCTCATTCAGCTGGATTTTCTCAGATTCTTTCCAATCTTCTTCCCCCAAATACTTCAAAAACGAGATCCTGCGATAAATGCAGGTACGAAAACCCTAGCATTTCTTCTTCATCTAGAATTTATTCAATTTTTTTGCTACGAAGCAGCGCAATTCTCCTTTTTGCTGCAATTTTGATTTCAATTTTTTGTTAGATGGAGATTTTTCCTGTTTACCTTCTTCATAATGGTGAATGGGAAGAAACAAGTTTGTGAATTTCGTCAGTGATTGTGTAATAATCGAGTCCACATTCAACTACAACAATTTAGTTGCAGCTATTTCGGAACAGATTAGGATCGATAGTGATTTAAACACAATAGAGATTAACTTTGTCCCAAATGTTGGTTTGCCACCGGTCATGATTTACAACGATATAGGAGTTAAGGTGTATATAGAATTAAAGAAGAAAAACTTGAATTTCACTGAATATCCCCTGTTTGTGACAGTGAAAGAGATTTATGAAAATCATTTGGTTGTTACAAGTTCTGTGGTTGCTTCAAGTTCTAGTTGTTTGGTTGCTACAAATTCAAATTCTAGAGATGTATCAACAACTGATAGCACTGAGATTATTGATACTGAATTGATTAAAAATACGAAATTTAGTGAAAACACGGGTATAATAGATAATATGTTGAACGAATTTGTTGAGGAGGATCAAGTTTATAAGGATAAAGAGACACTTATGAATGTGATGAAGAGCTTGGCTGTACGCGAGAGGTTCCAATTCAAGGTGAAGAGATCAAGCGCAACAAGGTATGTCATTAATTGTATATTCTGTTGTATAAATATGTATAAAGTAGTATATATTTGTATACAGGTATTAAAATTAGTATATATGCAGTTTGTATACAAGTGTATTTAGAAGTTGAATGATGTATAATACTAGGTATCACCTTACATGTCTGGATGACAATTGTGCTTGGAGTTTCAAATCTTCTCCCGTTTTCAAGGCAAACATATTCAAGTGAGAAGTTACAATAATAATCACACATGCGGCTATGGTGAAAGATACTTAACACAACGTCAAGCTACTTCGAGTATAATTGCTAGTATAGTCAAGGACAAGTATGTTAATCCAAAAAAAGTTTACACCGCAAATGATATAATAGAGGACATACAAAAGCAACACGGGATTGAAGTGAGCTACATGAAAGCATGGAGATCTAAAGAAATAGCAATGGAAATGATAAGAGGGAGTCCGAGTGATTCATATAAGGAGTTGCCGAAGTATTTTTATTTGTTGGAGCAAACAAATCCAGGAACGGTTACAAAGTTGCATAAATCAGAAGATGGATGCTTTCTTTATGCATATGTTTCGCTATATGCATCTATCAAGGGCTGGGAGCATTGCAGACCGATAATGGTTGTTGACGGAAGCTTCCTTAAAGCAGCATATAAGGGTACCATATTGACTGCTTGCACACAAGATGGAACTGGTGAGTTAACTGTATCTACGTTGTTTCTGCAGTTTGTATAATGTTTTAGTTTCATGTATAAAAGTGTATAGGATTTCACAACTGCTGTTTTTATAAAATTTGCAGTTGGTATAAATCTATATAATTGTGTATAACTGTGTATAAGATTTGTATAAAATTTGCAGTTGGTATCTGCAGACTAATTTGCAGTCTGAATCCTAATATCTATTTTTGTATAAACAGGAAAAATCCTTCCACTTGCGTATGCAATTGTGGATTCAGAGAATAACAAATCTTGGGAGTGGTTCTTTGTCCAGATAAAGGGTACTTTTGGAGTTAGGGAAGGGATGTGTATAGTTTCAGATAGAAATAAAAGCATCTTCAATGCCACAAAAGCTGTGTACCCAGAAGTACCACATTGTATTTGCATGTTTCACTTGTGGCAGAATGTAAAGCGCACATTCAAGAAACATCACAAACAATTGAAGGATATCTTCTTTTCTTTGACAAGAGCTTACACGATAGAGAAGTTTGAGTACCATATGACAGAGTTGTGCAAAATTGATCCGAGGGTGCAGCCTTACTTGTTCTAAATTGGGTACGAAAGGTGGTCTAGAGCATATTCCAAGGTGAAAAGGTCGATGGTAATGACTTCCAATATTGCAGAGTCAATTAATGCAGCTAACAAGGATGCTAGAGAGTTACCAGTATTACCGTAGCCGATTGCTGGAGTACATGACACTTGCTACAACAGTGGAATCAACAAAAGAAAAAGTGCAATGGAAGACATCTACAGAGCTTGGCGAAAAGTACGACAAACTCCTTCGGGAAAAATCTTATTTGCATCGGAGCAAATGACGGTAAAATGAATCAAAATATAAATAACTCTTTGTCACTTCTGGACTTGCATTTTACTGCTTGTATAAGGGATGTATAACTCTGTATAATAATGTATAATGTTCTTTAAATTTTTTTTTTTAAAAAAAAACTTTTTACAGGCGAGGCCTGCTACGGATTAGTTATATACTGTGCTTGAAGGGTAAGGAGAAACATAGTGTGCCTGAAGAAGAGGAACATGCAGTTGCGGAAAATTTCAAATGGATGAACTTCCTCGTCCGCTATGCTTTGGCGATTTGAAGAAAACAGCTGAAACCTGGCCAGTATTGACTTATATATTTATACAAGAAGGATAAACTCTGGCTATAGCTATCTTATGAATTCTCGCCAGTGAATTCGATTGCCAGATGAGAGTTATGGGTAATCCCCAAACAGAGGTGATGGAAGATGTGGTCCTAACCACCTAAAGGGAGAAAAGGAAATGCAGGAAGGCCAAGAAAGGAAGATCAAAGCCTGGCTTTTAGAGAAAGAGTCAAGAGAGCATTTTCGTGTTCTTGTGTGTACAAGGTGGTCACAATAGGAAAAACATGTAGGAATCGACCAAAAATAAATATTGGAAACAAAACGCTTCTATTACATTTGTTTTCATGTTGAGTAGTTAATTTTTCCACAAACAAATAGAGTTAACAAATGTTGATTAGTTAAGTCACAAGCAATTGACATGTGTTTCATTATACATGTTTTTGCTTATCCAATAAAAGTGTCTTCCTGTTTTTTAATGGTAACTAAAATATAATTGATAAATGGTAGAAATACAAAACAGGGAAGTTGCCAAACAATCACTGTAATTACATGTATACAGATGTATAAATGAGAGTATAATTTGTATAAATTTGTATAACTAAATGTATATTATTGTATCATATGTATAAAAACTGCTACATTACAACTGCAACCATAATGAAAATACATACTTTGTTAAAGGAACAAAGCACTGAAAAATATTTCATGTAAAATGTAATTCATTCCACAGCAACATATGTGTAATGATGCCTCAAATTAACAAAAATAAAAAAAAACATCTATAATATCCTTTAAGGTTATCTCACAAGTAGCAAGAATAGTTAACAAAATAGGCACAACTCCTTATACATAGAAACAATTGTAAATGAAAAATATACAATAACTACTTTTCTTGGTCGCCCCCTTCTTCCTCTTCCTCAAAAGTTCTCCCTGTGACTTCATCATCACTAATTGCACCAGACTGTTGTTTTTTTCTTCCAATCCCTCATAACAGAGATCCCCACCTGGTGGCGAAAGTGTCTCAATGTCAAAAATTAATCCTTCGAAATTTCTTTACCAAGGATGAAATACCTCAGCAAAAGCTAGCCAACAAAAGCACCACAATCAACTGGTATTAAAAAAGAAACGAAATCAGCATTCAAATAGGTAACACTATTATAGTAAAATAGTAATAACAATTGAGATTAACCCATACCATTTTGATCTGTTGGGGAACATTATTAACCAGATTATCTGCAAAGCGTCAGAATGGGATTTATCGGTATATGCACCATTATTCCAATCAATGCCTCTTCTCGAATAAAAAAATCTAGAAACTCTTCAAGAAGTAAGGTATCAAGAATTGCATAGGTAAATTGCCAGCATCCAAAACAATCCTATCATTAGAGCCACGGTTAGAGTCATAGATGTGGAATGGCATCTATCTACAAACGTAAACACCCCCAAAACCGCCAATGTCCCAATTTTGCTCCTTCCCGCGCTTCAACAAAGATAGGGAATAAGAACGTGGTCAACAAGTGTGCCACGGACAATTGCATTCACAATATAAACCTTATGTACTCTTCTATCTCATGCCCGTCAAGGAATCACTGAAAGGATCTTGATTCAACTTTTGAAAATCTTTTGTATAGGGAGTTTGATTTTGTTACCAAAGGCAAAGTTTGGTTGTAGTAAACGCATGCAACAACTCCGCCATAATTTTCCCCTCTT